TGCAAAGATTGCAAGTAGCCCTGGTCTTCGCTGCATCGCGGGAGAACACTTCCAAACGACTGAGGCTAACTTTCACTCGAATGGAGAGGTGACCGAAGCATATCCTGCTACAGGTCAGCAGATGCGGAACAAGACATCAGTAGAGTCCACCAAAGCTGCAACGACAACTGAAACAACTCAAGTGTCGTGCAGGCATACAGTCACCTGTAACTGCGAGTGATTTTCACTTTGCGCGGGACTGGACTCTCGATCGACCAGGGAGTCGTAAAATATTTTACGACTCCCCGCATGACTTTTTTTGTACTGCCATGTGTACGGAGTACGGTGTTCGTTAGTGCAAACGAGCTGGCCGCACAAACGAGCCGAGTTTCTGGCGAGCGAGCTAACGAGTATCCGGTGAGATCGTTTCAACACTAACACACACACACACGTCCACACCATTTGACCATTGGCCATTTGACGCCTATCGCCGGAGGCGATGATAGCGATGCCACAGCTGAAGCCATAACAGCTTGTGTTGGGAAACGTACACACATGTACACCCACCCACACCCACACAAACACACGCATACCCACACAAACACATGCACACCCACTCACACACACACACACACACACCAGGTACTGAGCCTACCTCTGCTGGTAGCGCTCCTCGTGCGGATATTTTCTTAACAAATCGTACACATCCTGCGGAGGAGAGAGGTTGAACTCCTGAGCACGCTCCCAGCGCTCGAGACGACTGATTCCTGGCACGGAAAACGGAAAGCGCAAAAAGAGTAAACAGGAAAACATGGTTGATCTCAGAACGGAGAGATACAGACAAATTTCTACTGCACAGCATCGTACAGACCTTGCGCGCTCGATTATAGCCCCGGGCTTTTATACGAGACATTGCCTTATTATTTTGATTCCCTCTGATACACGACCGGGCTCTAATTGAGAGGGAGTTTGTGTTCGAGCGCGTATGGAACACTCGTGAAGCTTTCAAAATGTTGTTGAAGAACCTGAAGGGTGTCCTTTTAAGCATTTCAGCATTTTTGTCTCCGAGGAAGCGGTTGATTGTCACATGACCTGTTGCAGATTTTGTTGACACATTGTGTAAAATACGCAATGCTGTAGACACCAATCCGTTTGGGCCATGACGGCCTCATCAGTACAGCTACGAGCTTTAAGCAGGCCGGAAGAAGGAAACAGCTGTATGGAGTATGCCATTGTCTTCAACAATTTGGAGTCGTGCTGCTGGCGGGTGTGGTGAATGAGGATGGCGAAAGAGCACACACACGGGAGCATTTGGACTAAATTAAAAAAAAAAAAAAACTAGTAAATTCCCAATCAAAAAGATCATGATGCTGCTGCGCCATGCACACGGCACTGGAGCAGGACGGAAGAGCTTCACCTATCCTATACCAGCCTGTAACAATAAGACTTAGTATTAGTTCCAACTCCACCGCATAAGCTCTCTGCCCAACCTCATTCACACCAGCAACATGAGTCCAAGCTGTTGTAGATATTGACAATTTTTATTCTCCAAACAATTGTTACAGCTGTTACTGCCTACTGTCCTATACATTCTCGGTGTACTGTAAGGCGACACATTTCCGGCGCGTTTACATTTCGGCCTCCCAGGGCTAAAACACATTTCGGCCACATTTAAAAAATTTCAGCTTGTACTGCTGCTGCCTGTACACACTGAACCTTGCAAAACAAAATTTTGCCTGCCAACAAATTTTCGGCCAAAAATGCCCAGGCCGAAAGTAGGCGAAGATAAATATGCGCCGAATAATAAATTTTGTTGACTTTACAGTACCTATATTTTCAGTACTTTCGGTGCATGTCTTTCACTCCTCTTTCAATAGCTGCACACACACACACACACACACACACACACACACACACACACACACACACACACACACACACACACACACACACACACACACACACACACACACACTCATACATCTCATGCATCTCATCCAATAGATGAATGCTTCTCTGTACCCACAATTTCTGTTCACCTTTACCTGGTCTTTTGCCCTCACGCACGTAAAACTTTGAGCACCTTCAGTGCTGGCAACTGAAATCCGACCCCCCAGCGGTGCGTTCACATTCTAGCGGTCTCTATCTCATAGCTTTACAGTCCCGTGTTGAGTCTTTGCGATGTGAGCGCACCGCCCAGGGGTCGGACTTCAGTTGCCAGCACTGTAGTATAAATCCAAACGAAGTGCTGCAAATCATTCTCCAAGAACATTCTCGCACGTTCTCCATAAAAAGAGACTCGGATTTCACCAGTTTAATCCCAGCAAGTGTGCCCGGCACGGCATAAAGATGTTTGCTCTCTGTGACACGAACAGTCACTACTACAACGCTGATGTCTATTGCGGAAAGCCAGCACAGCCGCTTCAAAATGCACAGATGCGTTCCTCGAGTTGCTAGGGGACCACTTCAAGGGAGATAGATGGCCACAAGCTGTACCTAGACAATTGGTAGACATCCTTGCCACTTCGTGCCCACCTTAGCCAGCACAACACGGGTGTCTGCTGCACAATGCGAGCCAGCATAGCCGCTGCCACACACAAATACGTTTGGCGCAACACCGGCCATTGTCCTCAAGTTGCTAGGGGACCTAAAGGGCAATGGTCACAAGTTGTACCAGGACAACTGGTATACATCCTTGCCACTATGTACCCACGTTAGCCAGCACAACAAGGGTGGGTGCCTGCAGCACGATGCGAGCCAGCAGAGTTGGCATTCTGGCCGACCTCAAGAACGCTGATATCCCGAAAGGCCAATACGTATACAGAAGGAAGGGCAATCTTCAAGTCCTGAGGCTGCATGACCAAAAGTTGATTTACCTGGTATCCACCTTCCACAACGCCACCAAAGTCTGCACCGGAAAGCGCAGCCGTCAAGGCCAGCGCATCCTGCACCCGAAGGTCAACCAGAACTATATCGTACTTTCCCATTGCTTTTATTGTGCTTCTACTGTGCATGCCAGTGTGTAACTTGTAGGGTATACATGTGATGAGTTTGTATGACGGGAATGGGTGGCGTAGACAAGAATGACATGATGGTACAGGCGTTCACAGCGCTCCGCATGTCGCTAAAGTGGTGCAAGAAGTTAGGTGCGCACTTCATCGAGGAAGCAATGCAGAATGCTTGTCACGTACAAGCTCTCGTCCAGCAGCAAGCTAGACCACAAGGTGTTTACTGCCCAAGCATGTCGCCATATCTAACACACCAACAACCATGTCGTACAGTAGTTGCCAGGACCTCGGCATGCTCGCAAAAGTTCCAGTTCAAACACCGCGTGCAACGGTTATGGTCCAATCACCACCACCCTCACATCTTATTACGAAGACAAACCCAAGCCAACATACAGGCTAGCCGGAGCTGCAAGAGTCAGAGGTTTTGCAGTATAACTTGGAAATGTCCAAAGCGGTTGCTCCTCCCAATCCATCGCGCGGTGGTGCAGAAACAAAGAAATACGGGTCATCAAATGCTCCATTTCCGAAAGCAGGTATTTTGGCCTTTCTTTCGCAAATGTGGTGGTACCCATTCAGCATAAGGATACTGTTCTCCGGGAGGACTTCTGGCCTGACACTGTCCGTGCAAGAGAGTGGCGTTTCAAGGCAGACAGCATTGCAAACTCAGCAGCAGCGCAATGAGTGAATGTTAGATATTGCATGCGTCTTCACCTTGTACATTGTCTCTGATTGGACAGCTGCACTTTCGATGCATTTCTAGTATTTATTGCTACTGTGTGTTCCCGTCGGACAGCATTACGATTTATTGTTACACGTACGTTCTATGTCAAGTCAACCCTCAGCCTGTGTTCCCATTCGTTTTCTAGTTCTATACTTACTGCCATGACTTGTCCCGTTTATGGTTATACAGTCTTCTTCTTTTCCTGTCGTATTGCTTTCGTTTACCGGAGACTTCTACGGTATGTCTCTATTCGCCTCCATGATGTCCTTATCCTGACACTAGCATTTTCTGCGTCGCGTACGGCTGGTGGGAATATCTACCCCAGCCGTCGTGATGTAGACGCTTCCTCATCATTACTACTTGGAGGACAGTCACGAGTTCGGAGACAGCGGGTTCAAAATTACTGATGTTCGCAGATGACAAAACAGTCTACTCTAGTGATCCGTCGAAGGCGCGTTCCGAAGCCAAGTTGTCATCGGCACTGGAGATACTAAACAACCACCTTGGCTCCCTTGGCATGCAGATTAATACCGACAAAACCGTTGTCATGCAAATCCATCCCAAACGTGCCACAGGGAGTCAGCAACAACAACAAAGGCAACAACTGCAAATCACCTTGTCAAATGTTACGCTAGGGGAAGTGGAAAGCACCAGATGCCTAGGAGTCGTTGTTGACAATAAGCTGTCCTTTGACCAACACATTAACAATGTCGCCCGGAAAGCCTCACGGAAGATCGGTGTACTGCGCCGATCTTTCCGCCAGATGAACCTGTTTGCCCTCCGTACTTTCGTTGTCGGTGTTATTCAGCCTGATCTAGAATATATGCTCTCCCTGTATACCTTTCGTTTATATCCGTTAAAAATAGAAACAAGCTAGCCTCACTCCACCGGCGCGCTGTACGAGTTGCTTGTGGCGCATCACCCCAAGCTACTATCACGTCACTTCTTCACCACCTCAATGTTTCCTCTTTTCAAAATCGATCAGTATTTCTGTTCCTTGTATTCATTTTCCACTGTTACGCCGGCTGTTTGCTTGCAGTCCCTCTTTCCCATCTGTACGGCTACCCGAACTACTCGCGGCTCAACAACTCATAACATGAGTATCAATCGCTATAGATCTATGTCTGGCTTTCTGTCCTTTTCAAGTAAATCGGCTCTTCTTTGGAATTATTTACCAGACGACTTGAAGTCCTGCACTACTAAAACACATTTTTGCACTACTACCGCAGATTTCCGCGTCAAATAGAGTAAACTGTTGTTGTTTTTTAGGTTTTCCGGTTCTCGGGGCCTTCTGTTCGGTACTCTTTGTAGTTGTACTTCTGTACTGTTGAGCTATCCGAATTCAATATACACTAAAAAAAATAAAAAAAATCTACTTGGTGAAGGTAGCCAGCAGATAGGTGCAGAACAAACGAGCGTTGAACGGCTGATGGGACGTCACTTTCCGACCATTTACCCTACCGCTGAAGAGAGCAGGCCATTATGTAAGCGCTGTGCCGTGTGTCTGCTGCACAAGCCAGCTCTTTGTGTAGCACCGTGCTTCAAGCTGTTCCACACTCGGCCCTAGGCGTAAGTGTGATTGCTAGGATACGTGAATCGTGCTGTCCGCACAAATGCAGCTTGCTCTCTGCCTGCGTACAACATGTACAGTCGCGGTCAAAGACATCCGACCCGCGAGCCAAAAGCAGTGTCGTGTTACCATTTCAATTACATTACGCACGTTCCAAAAGTCAATCCGAGGGCCACATGGGCCGCATGAGCCCTGGCACTACTTTCGGCACGTGGGCCGGATTTCTTTGGCCACGACTGTACATACTAGTATTTCAGCAGGCTCATTCTTCGGTAGGTGCGTTCGTTTTTCCCTACCCCAAAAGGTAGGTCCTACTTTCCTCTATCGGCTCTACCCGGCTTGAAGCTGGTAGAAGTCGGTAGAAGTTAGTAGAAGTACGGTGTATCTGTGCTTGTGTGAGCATGAGAGCTGTTTTCCACAAGATATCGCACATCGTACTGTACTATAACAGGACTTTACATCGATGTTCAACTGAAATGGGCAGAGCAGCTTATTTCCCAACAAACATTCTACTCTACCAAGTATACAAAAAAAACCCTGAAGTGTGCAGGTTGGATATTACTTAGTAGACTATTTCCAAATGATGAACGGTACAATTCGGCCAATAAAATGTAGAGAACTCTTCCTCTCTTCCATGCGCTCTCACAGCCGACTCACTGCTACCCTCGGTAGCCATTACACACACCAACAGCCGTACAAGGAAGGGTTGACTAATTCCACCCACACTATACACTACACCAAATGTATACACCTGTAGACCTTTTCGAATAATTCAAATTCTGCTTGAGATACATGTACATGTATTTGATAAATTTCTTCAGGATATTGCTTGGGAAGTTCCCCCAGTTTTTTCTCCTATGGATTTCAAGGGGATTGGATAACATGAAAAGTAAAGTGGTGCGTACAAGCAGGTCTCCTGCTGCACAACTGCAGCTCAGTTGTATGCACTACGGCATTTCCCGGCGCTATTGCCATGGATACAGCAGCGCGCCCAAGCTCACCGTGACAAGGGCCAAAGTCGTAGTTGAGATCAAACGACTTGAGCACAACGGCGTGCTGCTGAAATTCAACCTCGCTGGCCTGCTGGTGTGTTGAGCCTTCACACGTGATGACAGGAAAGAAGAAATAAGCATGACATAATAAGCATGACACACACACACACACACACGCACGCACGCACACACACACACACACACACACACACACACACACACACACACACACACACACACACACACACACACATTTAATGCAAGAAACCAGGGCCCAGATTTCACATGGTAAAGGAGTACAGTAAAACCTGTCAAGGCGACCACTCGGATAAGGCCACCACTCAGACAAGGCGACCACCTGTCCCAGAAGACCACTGCAACCAGGATCAAGGGATGCTGTTTCCAGTCAAACAACCCTGGATAAGGAGACCACCTGGTAACGGAGA